CCGGCGAGCCAACTCTGAGTGTTAGCCTTACTCCGTGTGAGCGAGTCCAAGTTTCAGGCTATTCGAGAACCAAATTAGGAAAATATGCTAACTCTGTTAGGGTAAACTTGGTTCCAATCCCAGAGAGGCAACACAGCAAAATCCAAGTTTGTGTTCACCGCAACGCTACACTTAGAATGTGCCAGTGTGAGAAATCTAATTGGAAAAATCTTCAGAGAGGGATCTGGAGCAGCTCTGTAATGTCTCCGTATGATAAACTCTACATTGATGTGAGATTCAGTGGTAGCGAGTATGAATCGTCTGGTTCAAGGGTCACCATCAACGTCACAGAAGATTTTCAAAAATGGCGGATTTTTTGTCTTGTGGCTGGACTCGTTGTGATCTTGGTAGCACCAGGTGTTAGCAGCTGGCTACCTTTTTATTATACAAGTTCTATGGCAGTTGGCGTTTTTCTAGTAGTTTTGATCATTATCTTCCAGGTTATGAGGATATTGCCGACTGGGAGGAAGAATGTTATGTATCTTGCGTTTTATGGATCTGTGGTTGGTGCTGGATCTTTCATTCTACATCAATTCTCAATGATGGTCAACGTGATTCTTGTTAATTTTGGCTTGAGTGAGGATATGTATAATCCGGTTGCGATCCTTGTGCTTGTTGGGATAGTTATTACTGGAGCTGCTTTTGGATTCTGGACTGTGAGAAAATTTGTGGTTTCGAAGCATGGAGGTGTGGATGCTAGTGTTGCTCAGTTTGTGAAATGGGCGATGCGTTCTGTTGCTGCTACGTTTATTTTACAGAGCAGCCTTGATATCCCTTTGACAATTGGAGCTTTTGTTTTAGCTTGCTTGATCGGTTTTGTTGTCAGCAAAATGAACGGCATTGTAGTTCAAAGACTTTGGCTGGCTTCAGCTGACACTGGTGAGAGACGTCCAATGCATGGAAGAGCGGAGTTCCTTAGTCGCCCTGGAGGTGGACTGTGGAAGAGTGGTAGAACTGTACCTTCATCTTCTGGCTCTCCTTCTTATGGTATGATCTCACCGTCTTCAGTTAACCGGAGAACACCGATCAGAAATCAAGATTACTATTCTACATACCACAGAACGCCAAACCAGAAGAAGATGTCGAAGAGAGAGTATGAAGAGTTGACACGAGAAACGACACGAGAAGCAATGGCAGGACTTGCAGCTTCTCCAGGATTCAGTGATTGGTTAGTTGAGCATGCTGACAGAATCAAGTTGCTTCCCACTGATAGCTATGATGACGAATTGGGTAGCGAATCAGATTCAACCGGTGAACAATCCTGGACAGGTTTTTTCTGGTAGAGAATTAACACCTTTGAGGCAACTCTTGACTACTTGCACGACACATACTACTTATTATTAACTTGGCATGAATCAGAACGTTGTAAGGGTTTTACCGCATTCAGAGAATTTAGGGGTAGGTACGAGTTAGGTTTAGAATCACTCTTTGTATAATTTACAATTTTCCAATTCTAAGCAGCTCAGGTATTAGTTACGCAATTGTGTAGTGATGAATTTGGTCCTTTTGTTTCTCCCATAATTGTTGGTCAAAAACAATGAAAGTGAAACTGTTCTTTGACAAAGTGAGAACCAAAGTTGTACTATTATCTTTCAATAATTTTCATTTGATTCTATAATTTATAAACCAGAAAATCCCCAAAAATCCTCCTGGGACACAGCTGCGCAGTACACAGTTAAATAATTACAACCAAAACCATAAACTAAAACAGAATCTCAAAAAATGAGAGAATCTAACTATTTTTGGTACATTTGGAAACAGTGATATCAACTAGAATGTAACAACATGTCAAGGCTCAAACCCAAGCTTAAAGATGTTTAGTGCGACACAATCTGTTTCATAACCAGAAAACTATAGTCAAAGACTAATCTAAGGTAATGAAGAAAAGGGGACACCTGGAAATGATCTTCCAACAAACAGAGAGATTCGTGGAACATTAAATAGAGAATCAGTAGTAAGGAGTGTATAGTATTCTTGCTCATCTTGAGGTAGATACAGGCTTGTCAGTCGTCTAGAGAACCGCCTTCAGGCAAAACGCAAAACTCGTTCACAGGCATACCATTTAGGGTACTTCAACTTACGGCCCTTCTCTGATTCTCATTCTGCATATGTTTTTCAAGCAGTAATACTTGAGAGGATATGAAACCCAACTATAGCTGAAGTAAGTTCGATATAAATATGAGGAAGCTTACAAAACATTCAGAAGGGTACATCAAGCAGAGTTTCCACTTCCCACTCCTGCAGCATTTGGTGTTTGATTTAGCTCCTTTGTACCATTTACATTCCTACTAAAGGAGTTACTCATAGGAGATGTTGCCTAGGAAAGTGCATACAACAAAATACCCCCTTAGAACAGAAAATAAAAGAAGGCTCGACATAAAGCAGAGAACCATCGGCTTAGAACCTAGACAATAACAAAAATACATGCTTTTTATGACCTTAGCACAAGTCTTCCTAGAGA